CGAAAATTTTGTTTATGCAGATGATAAATACATTAGAAAAATTTTACATAGATAGATGAAAGTATTCAAAAACTTTTTTGTCTCTCTAAAATTTTTCCAAAAACGACTAATATTTGAGAAAAAAAATAGTAAAGCAAACACTGCCCATTAAACAACGGGGTTGTCGATCAAAAGTTGGAATGAATTTGAAATGAAAAAATCTTAGTAGGCTTTGCAATCTTTGTCAGAAATATTTTTGACGTTTAAATGTCAGTTTTTCTTACTATTATTATTGTTTTTCAAATTAATTTTTGAATAAAGTTCTATCGCATTTACGCTCGTTCACTCGACGTTTCAAAATTTTAAATAAAACAATAATAAAGTAAGAAAACCACAGATATTTAAACGTCAAAAATATTTCTGATAAAGATTGCAAAGCCTACTTAGATTTTTTCATTAAAAATTCATTCCAACTTTCGATTAACAACTCTACAGCTTAACAGTTAGTGTTTGCTTAATTTTTTTTTTCTCAGAAATTATTAATTTTTAGAAGAATATCAGAGAGACAAAAAAGTTTTAGGATACTTTCATCTACCTATGTAAAATTTTTCTAATGTATTTATCATCTCCATACAACAAATTTTAGCAAAAATATAAAGGGGGTGGTTACGTTTAGTAGTTTAGAAGGGTAGGATGAAAGTACAAATAGGGTCAAAACGTGCCCTATTATGAGTTAAACATATTCCCCAAATTTCATTTTCCTAGCGTTTATGGTTTTTGGGAAAAAGAAATTAAACCAAAGTTTTCCGCTATTTTTGGAGGGGTGTAGCTCCTTAGGGGAGCCGAAGTCGCCCATGGTTCATATATCAAAGTACCCTTAAAATTCACTAAAGAATGACCCCTTGAAGTTTGTTGCATTCAGATACACCTGTATATCGTATTAGTTTCTCTGTAGGTCATACGATAGAACGATGCTATTTGAAAGTGCAGTTCAAATTTCAAGTCAATCGAATGAGTAGTTTTATGGTTTTGAGAAAAATGCACTTACAGTTACATGTACTACAATGTTATGCGTATGTAGTAGTTATTTAACGTTTATAGCTTCTACATTCAGCCAGACGCAAGCTTTATTTGAGATATATAACATTAAAATCGGTCAAATCGTTCTTTAGTTATAGCGAATTTAATCGGGGGTAAATACACAAGAGCTTGACTTTTAATCGGATAATTTTATTTTTACACGAACGTTTTGTTACCATGGAAATAACTCGAAATCAAAAGCATGATAAAATCGCGACAGCTTTAGCTGGAGCGATTTTATCTTTTGATTTTGACTTTTCGAATCGGGTATTTTCACTTTCGTATTGGCTAAGGATTCAGCTTTCGAATGAGACATTGTTTATCAAAATTGGTTCAGTGATTCTCTTGTTATAATCGAAATACTATAATATATGTAAAATCCTATCTAATTGGGGGCTAGAAAAATGGGGGCTAACTTCGCATAGGTTATGCAATACGGTCTCGTAACATCACATCTTTGATTGTTGTAGGTTCTATCTTATTGAAATCGCAATTATCTATATATGGTTATTACCATGTATAGATAATTGTTATATATTATAACAATTTTTACATTTTTCACAAAAAATTTCTGATATAAGGGTACTAAAATTTTACGTCATCGTAAAGAGAAAACAAATCTCTATCAAATGAGCCTAACGAAAGGGTACATTGCCATTTAAAAAACTTCAAGTATTATTCGTTGCTCATTTATTTTCTGAAATAAAAACAATTGAATGCTATGTTATGGCAAATAAAATATTAAATAACTTTTGTATAAAATGTTTTTTTATAAAGTTGATACCTACCAAGATATATACTATATTCCATACATAATGGGCATCCTGTATACTTATTATACCTAAAGCAATCTGGAACAGCTACTATTTTCACGAGAACAACTCTATAAAGGACACTTTACTCTAACAACAATCTAATACATATAACAATCTAATAATAGAACAATCTAAAATAACTCAAACTTTGCTGATTCAAATTGTTCTAGATGTGTTTTACGTTTAAACTAGGAAAAAAAAAGGTTACACGAACATTAATTTTGCAAAAGCATATCTTTCTAAAAATGCAGGCCTAAAAAGAAAAATAATAAGTCAACAAATGAATAATCCACCTATTCGATCAGAAAACAAAAATACACTATTTGTATTATACATTATATATTAAAAACTAAATATCTCTGTGTCCCACCCGCACAGAGATATATACAGCGTGTCCCGTCTCTTCCGCATCAGAGTATTATACGGTTGTAGGATACATTATTCTGAAGCGATCTTTCTAATAAAATATTTTCGAAATGTTTATAATAACCGCACGAAACTGTTTAAAAGCGAGCAATAGCGTTCACGAAAAAAGTTTATTTCTCTTTCCGTGTCGAATCTATTGGTGAGTACATACACTTGAGAAACGTGTTATCATCGACGTAGCGGACCGGCCGAGGGTGGCACCGATTACCCGAGTCTAATTACAATTTACTTTATATTTATACTATATTTGTTCCCATATATTAATAAAATAAAATATTAAAATTCGGATGAAGAATTATACAGGGCTTCCCAAAAGTAACGGATAAATTCGTTAAACTGTTTAAACTGAAAAAAATTCGTGGTCGGAGTATTTAATTTAATTTTAACGGCATCGTATTCATGGTCACCTCTTGTTTCAAATTCGAAAAGAAAATTTTCCTAACCATTTCTTATATTCCGGAAAATCGATTTTCTTCAAACATAAGCAAATGTCGGCCTGTTCGGGGTTTCTAATTGATCTCATTTCAACGGCATTATATTCCTGGTGGCTTCTTGCTTCAGAATCAAAAAGAAAATTTTCCTAACCATTTCTTATATTCCGGGAAAATCGTTTTTCTTCAAACATAAGCAAATGTCGGCCTGTTCGGGGTTCCTAATCGATCTAATTTCAACGGCATCGTATTCCTAATCGCCACTTGTTTCAGATTAAAAAAAAAATTCCCTAACCATTTTTTATATTCCGGGAAAATCGTTTCTCTTCAAACAATCGCCAATCCAACAATCAAGTGGACAATTGTTTATAATAAGTTTGTGCTTTTCTAGTTTCAGTAGTCATTGGATGAAAAAATAAAACTTGCTCATCTTCAACATTTGCTACCATTAGCATCCAATCACGTAGTATCAATATAAAGTAGTATCATTATAAAAAATATTTTTGGAATTTGGTAATTGTCTTTTGGTAAAAACCCGTTCATAATATTTTCTACTTCTCCCTGACAAAATATTTTAATATTTTTATCCTTTGCCAATATACTCAATGCATAATCAACGACTAAATTATCCAACCACATGTCTTGTTTGTTCATTTTGCAATTGATTGTCAAAAGATAATCAAAGCTTTCGTAGTAAAGCTTTTCGTTATTAAATTTTGCAACGACATAATTTTTTGATAATTTTTTTACATTAGGAATTTGATTAATATAAGACAATATTTTCGGCAGGTCTGTGTTAACATCCTTTGAGTCTGTTTTTTTTGTTTTCCCCAAGATTCTTCAATTTCTTTTGATATCTGACTTCATTGTATTCACTTAGAACATAATTTCATTTACGAATAAATCTGAACGGTTTGTCTCTTAATTCATTTTGATTGAGAATATTGTTTTTCAAAATGTTGAACCAATTTTCAACCAAATTGTTGTATTGTATTGGTTTTAATAAACTTCTCCACATCGGCATATATGGAACATGCTGTAAAAACGTCTGTCCAAATTGACTTGAAAAATAATTGTTTTTCTTTAACTGTTGTTCATTTTTATACCGATTGCAATTGTCCTGAATTTTCTTAAAGTAGTATATTATTTCTTTTTCGTAGTGTCCAGCGGCTTACAGCCAATACAATTCATGTCACCAAAAAAATTTTATGTATGTATGCCCGTGTTTTGTTAAACCCATCATCAAAGACTCACACTTCAAACCCACCGCTTTTTCCTTTAAGAAGAATACGATGCCGTTAAAATTAGATCGATTAAAAACCCCGAACAGGCCACAATTTGCGATTGTTTGAAGAAAAACGATTTTCCCGGAATATAATGCCATTGAAATGGGATCGATTAGAAATCCCCAACAGGCCGACATTTGCTTATGTTTGAAGAAAATCGATTTTCCGGAATATAAGAAATGGTTAGGAAAACAAGAGGCGACCATGAATACGATGCCGTTGAAAGTAGATCGATTAAATACCCCGATCGCGCATTTTTTTCAGTTTAAAATCTATGGCTGAAATCTATGGCCAACTTCACACGCGTCAAAAACTTTAAAGAGTAAAGTGTCCTTTATAGAGTTGTTCTAGTGAAAATAGTAGCTGTTCCAGATTGCTTTAGGTATAATAAGTATATATTTATAATGTGGAATTGAAAATAGAAAAACTATGGTCACAGCAATCAACTAGACATTTTGGCAGCCAAACTTATTTTTAGTTATAACTTCATAATGATGTATCCCATAATTTTGATTTTCTAGAACAAATAGAACAACCTAGAACAACCAAGAAAATTTGATTTTTCCAAAAGTGGGGAGCTAGTCAAAAAACCCGGTTTTTCGGTTTTTCTCGCCGAGTTTCTATGTTCTCTATTTGCCGCTTTGGAACAATGTAGAACAACTCTAGAACAATCTAGAACAACAATGAAAAATTTAAATATCAAAAATAGGGAGCTAACTTCCCGCACTCCATATTTTCCATTTGGACTTTTAAAAATTCTTCTATCATGTTTTCTTTTTTTACAATCTTTTTCTTGTAACCTCACGAATTTTCAGAGTCGTTTTGGTTTTAACTTTAATCCGATTTAAATAAACAATTTTCTTTTACATAACGTTAACTTCTTTTTCTATGTTGCTCTCTTCTCATTGTTAGATGGCGCTACATTGATTATTTCTTATAACAAGTTCGTTACCAACATTAATAAAAATTAGAAATTCATACGTTTGACATGGTACTTGTCATTCAAACGTCATAAAAATTTAAATTTAGGTTAGGACATTTCGGTGTATAATTATCAAGTTTATGTAGTGGTCGAAATGTTGATGCAGTTTAGAAATTTACTTAAAACTCTACCTTTAAGAATTAAATTAAAAACTTCTTCATCAAATAATTTTGTATCTCTAGCTTACCTTCAATTTAACAACAATGATAATAATAATCACAACCCATCTAAAACAACGTTGAACAACATAAAATATCTTTTCTATATCGCTTGTGGATGTGTTGTTTATAAACTTATCAAAAATGAGAGATTTATACCTCCCGTCCATGCTGCAATATCATTTGGGGGCAGTTCGTTGAGTGGTCGTAGAAAACAATTCAATTTTATTTCGGATGTTGTTGAAACCTGCGCCCCAACCGTTGTTTATATCGAAATTAAGGATACAAGAGCTGTAGATTTTTTTTCTGGAAAACCACAAACAATTTCTAATGGATCAGGATTTATTATTAAAGAAGATGGACTTATTTTAACCAATGCTCATGTTGTTACAAACAAACCGTCCGCGAAAGTTGAGGTACGCCTTTTTAATGGAACAGTTTATAATGGTATTGTTGAAGATGTTGATGTTAAAAGTGATTTAGCTACCGTTAGAATAAACGCGAAAAGTTTACCTGTTATGAAATTAGGTAATTCATCTGATTTAAAACCTGGAGAGTTTGTGGTTGCTTTAGGAAGCCCCTTAGCTTTAAGTAACACAGTTACATCAGGAGTGGTAATTATAATATTTAATACATCTCTACATAATCTCATTAATAATAATTAGGTCAGTTCAACACAAAGAGGGTCAGATGAACTTGGATTAAGAGGCAAAGATATGGTGTATATTCAAACAGATGCTGCAATTACATTTGGAAATTCTGGGGGACCTTTAATTAATTTAGATGGAGAAGCTATTGGAGTAAACAGCATGAAAGTAACAGCTGGAATTTCGTTTGCAATACCGATTGGTATTAAAAAAGCTTAATAAAATTGAATTAATAATAAATAAAAAATTAAATTGTAGATTATGTCAAAGAATTTTTAAAAAATACTGCAGGTGTGGTTAAAGTGCCTAAAGAAGGGGCTAAAAGAAAATATGTAGGAATAACAATGTTAACGTTAACCCCACAAATTATTAGCGAATTACAACAACGAAATCAACAAGTTCCTTCTAGTATAAAAAATGGTGTTTTAGTCTGGAAAGTTATGTATGGTTCTCCTGCTCATTTGTAAGAGATTATACTCACTTAATTTCGTATAATTTTTTAAACCCGTTTTTAGAGGTGGCTTAAATCCGGGTGATATAGTTACTGAAATAAATAATAAACCTATTTCAAGTGCAAATGATGTTTATAACATTTTATCTGATAAATCGGCAAGAAATTTAAAATTGAAAATAACCCGGTTTGGTAAAACTTTCGATATTCAGGTAACACCGGAAGATATTGATTAATTAGTAAGTTTAATAATAAAAGTTATATTTCATTTTGGTATGTTTTATTTTTTTCGTCTCGATTTAACTTCAGTCCATTCAGAATCAACTGGAGTTTCATCAACTGTCATTTCTTCAACATTTTCTTGATGTGTTCTTCTTTCTGATTGAGCCACAGGTTGAGTTAACCACAATTTATCATTTTTCGGTAATTTATTGTACTCAATCTCAACTTGTTCCATGTTATTTTCTTGAAGCAATTGTAAAAATCTGTATAGCAAATTCGATATTTCCTTTATCGAGCCATCTTCGCATGTTGTGTTAAATTGTAGATCCATTAAATCTTCTAATTGATCTTCTATATCTGTTATTTCCACTTGATAATCAATACAGTACTTTGTTAAGTCTTCAATTGCTGATAAAGCTAACTAGAAATGATCTTGAGAAGATGTTATTATGAAGGAAATAGAAATTTACCTCTTTACTGTTTGAACCGCCCATATGATGCTCAACTGCTAATTGTAACGCGGTCCAATTATTAAATATATTTTCAACGATTTTTCTTAGGGATTCATACATTTTTATTCGTTTAAATAAATGATATAACTTTAAAAAGATAAATTCAGAATCATGTGTCAAAATATTTTAAGGTTATGTTACACATGAAAAACTTATGTAGTATATACAGGGCTTCCCAAAACTCCCGGGACGGAGCTATAAATTTTGAACGAGTGAAGAAAAAAAAATGAAAATTCCATTCCTTCTGAGAATGAAATCTATCAATGATAAGGTGAACTATTTTAATAGTCAAATTATTTTTCTATTCGACCTTTATGCTCCTTTAAAGAGGTGTGTTCTTTCTGAGGCCAGTCCTCCATGGTTAACTCAAAATTTGAGATTAATGATGAGGCTACGGGACGACGCACACAGGCGAAGTTTTTAAAAATCTCGGCCAAAATTGGAAAAATTTAAGGAATAAGATTGAAAATGCAATTGCTATTTGATTAAGTAAACCCCAAGGTCCCTTGAAACACCTTATTTTTAATTATTGTAACAATCGCCGCCAAAATATTTTAGTTGTTAATTGATTGTTTAGTAAACAGTTATCACCTAGATAAAACGTCGGTAAAAATTGTGGTTTTTAATTAATTTTTCCTTTACATTTTTTTTATATATTTCGAAAATTTATCATAGAACCTATTGCTGATGGTAAGAAGAATTGTATAATATACAGAAAGCAACAATTCGGTTATTAGTATTTTTGTAATATTGTTTGATTACATCATATGTTACCCGTGTGAAGTTACCCATAAATTCTATCCATAACAAAAACTTTTTTATTTGTGTATCGATTTTAATGATTAATAGCTCATTAGAAAGATCTCGTAGAGTATAGCCTAACATAGTTTTGGCGGCGCAGATTTTGGGCGGGAACACCTTAAATTTTGCGAAAAACNCAATATGTCAAACTTTTATTAGTAAATAATAAACCGATGTGATATTAGCTCAAAATAAACTCCAATAAAATGGCGATTCACAAGGCCCGATTTTGTCTAGACGGGCTCACTGTCATTTCTGGTTATTCTGTGGTTATGTTACACATGAAAAACTTATGTAGTATATACAGGGCTTCCCAAAACTCCCGGGACGGAGCTATAAGTTTTGAATGAGTGAAGAAAAAAAATTGAAAATTTGAGAATTTTGATCACTAAATAGTAGGAGTAATAAAAACTACATTCTTAGATAGTTTAGAACTTCCATAATAATAATAAGTATTTATTGTGCCAACCCATGATACAACAAAACAAAAAAAATACAATTGAAGGGCTTAGTGTGAAACAATAGCTTTGTTCGTTGGGACTGCGCTACTTGCACCAAGCAGTTTAGTGCAGATGTTGTGTGTTCATTGGGGATAGTGCAGTTTAGTGCGGCTGCACTCATACTGTTCGTTGGGCCATGCGTAGTGCAATTTAGTGCAGCCGGTGCAAGTTAATGCAGATTTTGTTGCACCTGCTTTCGATTAAGTTCAATAAGTGCAGTTTAATGCAGTGTAACTAAAATGGCGGAATATTTGAAAGCGTGTTTTGTAATAATTAATATTAAATATTAAGAAATAAAACCTTATAATAATTAATATTTGTTGTATTAGAGAACACAGTATATTCAATCCCAGTAGAGGCAGTAGAAAATTACCTCTACTTTTTTAGAATAATTTAAAAACTAGCCTGTCGATTTTGGCTTCATTAAATACAGTTATAGTACATTTAAAAATATTAATTATGTGTTTTTTCTCATTTAGGGGTGGCTGGGGTAACTACCCTCACCACCCCAATTTTTTTTTTTTCAAGTACTGCTTATCGATTTTGGTGCAATTTAGCATGTGATTTCTTTATACGTTAAGTAGTACTTTTGAAAGAACTAATAAGGGTTAGTAGTTTGGGGTAGAAAATATACTTCGCTAATAATTGCAGAAAATAAAAAATAATATAATAATAATTGATGAATCGCTACTAAAAAAACATTCTGCAATGATTTCATTTTCCACGAGTATTTCGCTGACAATCTCCTGTTCGTCCATTTCAAATATTATACACTTTTTTTTATAAAAATCTGTTCGTTGCGACCACGGTTTATACACTTTTCTGACCTGCACTAAGTTGACATGACATTGCACTGACTTACACTTCATTGCACTATGACGTCCCAACGAACAAAGCTAAATATTTTCGAGTTCTACAAAAGTATAATAAGTCACGGAATAAATAGTTTGAAAATATTCCAAAACATAGCAAACCAAATTAGTAGTAATGATCTTGCGTTGCTACATACGCATTTGTTTTGTGAAAATAAACAATAACAAGTCACACAAAAATTGTAACCCGTCGTGACTTAAGTGCATGTGAATCGAATAATTTTAATATAATGAACGGTGAAATGAGTGATGTAGATTCCCCAGTCGATGATAGTGATATTGATAGAGATTATGTACCTAGTGATGCAGAAAAGGTAGATACAAATCAACAGGTAAATGACTTTTTTTCATTTATGTGGCATGTTATTGTATTGCCATTGTTAATTCTATGCAAGCAAATTGGGTTGTCATTGGGTGGCTAGTTTAGTATTGCTTTTTCAATATAGAACGATGGTATAAAAGAATCAGATGGGGAAACAGGGAGCAGAACATTAAAACGGATTAGGGCTGATACACCTGAACCTGCCCCTAGAAGTAGATGGAAACACCGAAAAGAAGACACATATCCACGATCAAAAAGAAAAATAAGAAGAAATCTGGGACAGCAGTATACTAGTGACAAAACCAAAAAGACTGTTGCAGCTCGGGAGTTAGGACCTCCTTGTGAGTGTAAAAAAAGATGTAGAGAGAAACTAGATGGTAATGAAAACCGTATTTTCAATGAATTTTGGAATTTGGGATCATGGGAATNTGGCGCCACGTACGTCTGGAAACAGGTTCGTGTTTTGTTGCACTTTTCTAATTACCCATATGATTTAGCGACGACCAAAATTCACTTTTGTGTAGAAGACAGTATATGCATTCTGATTTGGTAATCATACCTGATATTATGTTAATTAGTTTTCAATTTTTGGGACTCTAAAGTTAGAGAATTTTTCTATATATTTTACTGTTTTTCGCAGAATTTAAGGTGTTTCCGCCCAAAATCTGCGCCGCCAAAACTATGTTAGGCTCTACTCTACGAGATCTTTCTAATGAGCAAAAAAAAATCCATCCACCAGTTTTTTTTATGGATGGAATTTATGGGTAACTTCACACTGGTTCATATGTTGAAATTGAGAAAATAATTTATTTTACGATATTTAGATGGACAAAAAATAAATTGTTTAACGTTGTTCAAAAGTAATATTGTAGACGTGTTGTAGTATAAGGCCTACTATTGTAGATTTTACTAAAAATTCTTGCGGAATTTTGCGGTTTTACCTTAAAATAAATTTTTATTATAGCGTGTGTATAAAATTCGGAAAAAAATCATAATTCCGCTATGTGCTGTTTGTTTGGGGAGCGCATTTGTAGTTAGAAAGTAAACATAAAGGGACACTTTTCCACTATTAAATTGATACAATTTATTACAATTTATTTTCTGAAACACTAATTAATTTTAGTATGAGATGTTAGCGTTCTAACGTTAATAATTTTCTAGAAAGAAATTAAAAACTTGAATTGTCACACTGAATTTTCGGTAAAATATTAAAAGTTGTTATTGTGTCAATTCAATTTATTATTTGCAAGATTTATTCCTTGAAAATTATTAACCATCCATCTTATACAGGCTGGTCCTTACATTTTTTACTTTAAATTTTTACGATTTAATCCAATTTATCTTAGTCTACTTATTAATAATAACGAAGATACAGATGGGAAAAGTTTATACTTTATGTTCATTTTTCTTTAATAATTTTCACTGTCAATTAGCATTAATATTCTAGTATTAATGCCAATACTGTAGTATTAATGCCAATTGAGGTTGTTAGTCTAGTGTTTGATGAAATAAAATCATTTTCAACTCCAACTAATGTTTACTGAGCATAATTAAATTTTGCAAAGTGCCTTACAGTGATTATCTTGGAAACGGAGAACTTTAGAGAAGATTGGTAGGTATACCAAATTTATGAAATTGTCTGAGAAACTGTTTCAAGTTGTGTGAGTTGCAAAAATGTTAACGATGAAAAGGATATGTCTACTTTAAAGGAGTTTTTTAAAGCAAGCAGTGCCATCTGAAAGATAAATCAAAACTAATACCAAATTATTATTTATCGTCTTAAAAAATGGTAATGTACCAATTTTCATGGTCATACACAGGAAAAAATATAGAGTAAAAATCAACTCTAAAACATGGTTCAGATCGGTCCAATTTATTTAGAGTTATTTTTTTGCACTATATAGTGTAG